AATGAAATGAAAGGAAATGAAAGGAAAGGAAAGGAAAAATAACGAAAGGATATGAAAAATTAAAGGAAAAGGAAACGAAACGAAACGAAAAATAACGAAAGGAAACAAGAAATAAAAGAAAGAAAACAAAAGCCTCTCCAAGTAATGTTTTGCTATTTTGATAAGCTGAACTAGATTGTGATTATATTTAGTCCCAAATCCGCGATTTTCTAGAGAGATACTCATAACATTATTCTCTTTTTGACTATATTTATACATGCATATTTATATATTTTACTCTATACGGAATCAATAAATAATATACAATGATATAGCACTAAAATATTCAATTTTCAGGGTTGCGATGTAGTAAAATATTCGAAAGATTTGCTGCAGTTAAAACTGATAAAAACGAGCGAACAGGTTCAGGCCTTTTTTAGTAAAGATAAGCTTATTATTTCATGCGTCCAAACGGAAACATATTATTTTGATATCTTACAATATTTCGATGAATTCGTGCCCCTTTCGTTACTGTTTGCAAAAGAAACTTCGAAAAGTGAATACGGTGAACTCTCGTCTTGCGGACACCCCGATATTACGGACACCTTGCTATTGCGGACAGGAGAAAAATCCCCGACAAAAATGCTGAGAAAGAAATGACCGTTAAAAATTTTCGCTATTGCGGGCGCTCGCTATTACGGACATGAAGTGACGGTCCCGAGGGTGTCCGCTGTAACGAGAGTTGACTGTAAAATTTGAAGAAGAAGCAATACCTTGTAGAAAACTTATTCGTATGCCTTGGATGCTTTACTTCTAGCGAGTCAGGAGTACGAGGTGAGACCAAACAGTACTGACAAGAAGTTTTCCAATATGATTCTTTAAGAATGTAATGAAATCATGGGATAAGGGCAGGTGTATTCTGCATTTTATTGTACATGTAATTGAAACTTTAAAAAAGGCACCAATAAAAGATTATGGCAATTAGGCAGCTATCGATATCTGTTAAAAGAAAATTCATTGAACTGTGGATATTAACATTATCTGAGCTGAGGCGGTGATACTACAATTCAGCAAAAACGACCTTTTCATAAACATCAGTAAAAGAAATGACAAGCTGTGTCTGAAGCTGCGTCGCAGTTTAAAGCTGAAAATGAAGCGGGTGAAATAGCTGAAACGGCTAAGATGGTCTAAAATGGCTGAAAATATGTACAAAATTTCTGTAAGAGAATCAAAATCAAATATATATATACGAGAATCAACAACAGAAGATTGAATCTGAAATTAGCGAGTGTACAGTCTTACAGAAGGAGGAAAAACTTTCATATGGTGCTGATTCTGCGAATAGAACACGAAGCTTCGGAGGTGAGAGGCGAGTGCACTACTGCTGCGCTAACCCATAGGGAAGTCGAGGAAGCAATTCTTTGGAGTATTAAACGATTAAGGGAACACAAAGCCCTTACGGTGATGTAACACTAGACTAGATCTTTAGCACAACATTTTTGCGTTTTGTTGTCAATCAAAACTAATCAAGCGGTTCCTTTTATATTTTTGACTGGTGGCAGCGAAATTCAGTTCACATGTTTATGAAAATGGCAGTAGAATGGCGCGCGCGGCAACACAAATACATTACAACAAAGTTGTGAGTTTTGAAGGTCGATCAAAAACCTTCAATACGTTGCCGCAACGATATCTTGTTAAAAATCGTAACCGCGCGCCATGTTACACGCGAACGATTTTTCGAGCGACATTGTTGAGAGGAAATTTGTAGTCGCGAATGTTCTTGTGTAACACCACCTTCAATTTGTCTAATAATAAGGGCCAAAAGAGATAGAAAAAATATGTTTCCTGTACTTATGTACCTTCTTGATAACAAGTCAGGGTCAATTTCACACCTGCTTACAAAGTTTGCCGTAATTTGAAAGCGTTGAAACAAAATTTWAAAAAAACTAAGGCTGCGTTTAATATACGGTACCGGACGAATTTCTAATCGGTCAAAAATGTAACCTGTACATACTGTTTACACATAGCCGTCTCTTCAATTATATAAAGAAAATGTTCTGTTTACGCGTGACCGGACCCAAATTTGCACGGCTAGGCTTACGATGTTTTGTTGGGATAGATCAGACCCGTGTGAATGGAACTTTTTTTAAAATTCGTGCGGGTCCGTGTAAACACAGCCTGAATTTTGCAGGGAGACATTCGATTGCTTGTTTATAAAATAGAGGGTAGACTTCCAATTCAACTACAGGGACGGCGGAGCAGTTTTTTGATTGGGGAGGGCTCAGTAGTGACATTGTATGGCAAGGTGGGGGTCTGAGTTTAGTGAAAATGTATTAAAATTTCACAAAAAGTGGTGGGGCTAAAGCCCCCCAGCCCCCCCCCCCCCCGATCCCCCCCCCCCCCCCCCCCCCCCCCCGATTCCGCCGTCCCTGAACTATAACGTGCACGTGCCATACTCATTACTTTGCAACGTTAAATGAAAAAAGTGAATTTAGCCACGAGCCATTCGATCGCTTGTTTACAAGATAAAGGGCAGAATTCCATTCAAACACGATGGCAGCTGTTACGCGCTCACTTAGTACTTAACCCGCCTAATAAGGTGAACATCTTTCCTCTTTTCAACATATCACAATATTATATACTCCACTGAGTTTCGAGTTCTCTGTTGCTCAATTTCAGTCTCGATTTTGTGCAGTATTTTGACTTATTTCAGTGAAGGTCCATGGAATCTTGCATCATTAAAGTTGTGCATTATTTACTTACTCTAATTAAAAGTTATATTTTTCCTGCATGACTATGGCTATCTGCTCGTCTTAATGGTTGAGGGTTTGATAAGCACTCAAGATAAATTGAGAACTGTTTTCGTCCATGATAAGTGATTACTTGAAGCATGAGAAAGAAAGAAAGGAAGGAAGAAAGAAAGGAAGAAAGAAAGGAAAAAAAGGAAGAAAGAAAAAAAGGAAGAAAGGAAGGAAAGAAGAAAGGAAGGAAGAAAAAAAGGAAAGAAGAAAA